AGCGGTGCATTTCTACAGAAGGAGCGAAATGAGATTGATTTTTTTTTCAAATTATCTGTGACATGATATACTGTTATGACATGGTGACGCTTTTATCTGTAAAGATATATATTGTTTATACTAGTTACATACTATATAGCTAAATGTGAATCAGAAAAGAATACCCATTGTAAGCTATATTTTAGTTGGTCTATCATAAAATTGTGATGGGGAGCATTAAGATTTGCGGTTGTAATGCGACAGTATAAAAAAAAGAGGTATGAATACTTTAGCAATTCTCTGCAGAGGGTCACTCAGAGAGTCATTCGATCAAGGTGGCGATCGGCTTGTGCAATCATGTGCAGAGCTTGCAAAGCTACAGGTGAGCAAATAACCCCCTGGATGCTGATACAAGACAGAGAGGGATGATGATGATGGCCCTGCTCTACATGGGAAGCACAGATGAAGCCCTGAGGCCTTTCAAACACTTAGTACCTGGATGTTGCCGGATAATTAAACACCTGTTTGGCCCTTAAGTGGAAAACCAAACACCACAAATCACGTTGAGGTTAATTTCCTCGGACGAGGGCCCTGTCCGCGAGTCAGCTGCTTCTAACTGTTAATTGCTCCCCTAATGGTCCTGGAAAAGGACCGTCAACCTGGGATCTCCAGCATTGGACGCTATCACGCAGCCAGTTCTGCCAGACGTTTACAGAGAGCCGCTGCCTGGGGGGGTTGGAGAGGAACGCCGCTTCCCTCCAACAGAGCTGTTGCATGAGAAACGTCAACAGAACCCGGCTTCAAAGGCGTCTGCCTTCACATTGAATCAGTATCCGCCTCCATTAGATTAGATGGCCCTCGCAGAGTTACATTGCGTTAACATTTCTGCATGGCTTCTCAAATCCATCGCTCTGGTTCTGGTTCCCCCTGTGAAGCCACTTCAAACACCCTCTGCCACGGCATCTCCTTTTGTGCTCTGAAACGGCAAGTATGTGTCTCTCTCTCTGTAAGATGTTTCAGATGGTCCCACAGGCACGGAGCGCATCGCACAAAGTAACACCAGCATAAAAAGAAACACAAGAAACAGGAGATCTAAAAGTGCATTAAAGCACGGGGATCTAAGGTGCAGTCGGCACACAGGTGGGGTGCAGAAAGGTCGTCACTGACTGCTGAGTGATAGACAGAGCGAGGGAAAGTCAAGTGGGGAAAAATACAAATAAATTAGAGGGGAAAAAGAGTCAGTGACAGTTAATTAGTGTGGAAACAGGGTGGATGTGGACTGGGAGGGGGTTCTGAAGCTCTGAGGACATATGTTTTAGTTTGTAAATAAAACAGTAAATTGCTCTGGATGTTGCTCAAATATCTGTGGGCCTTGTTCCACGCTTTGCGGAAGTTCCTCTGTAACCGTTCTGAGGCTGCCTTCTTTAAAATGCCAAAGCAGCTTCTTAAAGTCAGAAAGGCCATCTGGTTCTCGACCAATTCAAGATGTTTGCTCTTTTTTTTTTCCCCTCCTTCTCGTCATTCTTTTCTTTTTTTTTTAGATCAAATGATTTAGTTTGGTATCATCAGTAATGCTCTTGAAATATTGGAATGGAAAAGCTCGGGGATGAATGAATCACAGTTCGACTGTTGAAGTTGCTCAAAACAACTTTAGTGCAGTTATGAAAACCTCTATTGTTGGGTTGTTGTTGTTTTTCTTTTCAGTTTTATTTCTAGGTTTTTTCAATGAATTATTTATTTATTTTTTGTCACAGTTGGACTTGTGTCAAAGCTTAGTAGACATACAGTAAATGGCAGAGGCTGGGAATCAAAACCCGGACAGCCGACTTAGTCTTAATACATGGGACACCTGCAATACCCAGTGTTCCATGTCATGCAATACACGTACACCTTTTCATAAAGATGTGTAAAGAAGCCTTAAATCTTGTTTTCTGTTGTTGTTGTTTTCTTTTTGCGGTAGCATCGTTTCACACAGGAAAACAAATCAGCATTTAATTTGAGGACAGTTGATGTAGTCAGAACAAAATCCCAGAATTGGAAAACATCTATATTTTTATTTTATTTATTTGGCTCACAAAATCACAGGTGCAGCAATTATCAGCACTCTTTCTATCAACACTTCTTAAACCTCCTTTTGGCATAATCCTCTTCTCTTTGCCTGTAACATCTCTCCTCGTTTCTTTGCACAATCTGTCTGAATCGTTTGGAGTTCTAGGTCCTCGCTCATCCTCCGTTTTCTTCACGCTCACCCTGCAGGCCCTTTTGAAGGGTTTAAGTCTCAGAGCTCGGATTGTTACGAGTGCAGGTGATTTTGCATCTGGTGAACTGTTTCTGAGCTGATCAGGCCACATTAACCCTTTAAAACACCCGACTGATACATCCGTCCCCAGCTAGCAAAAGGCCACCTCGTCTCTATTTAAAATTCTCTGGCATTTCTGAGAGTTAATGTACTGTGACGAGGCTCGCAGAGCCATCTGACGAGAAACAAGCCCACAGCATAACAAAGCATCCGCCGTACTTGTCAGTGAGCATGCGGTGCAAAGCTTCATGTTTATTGTTTTCTAAATCAGTTATTTCTTGGCATGAGAACAATTCTCACGAGAATTGAAAAAAAAAAAAAAACTCACTTCAGACCAAAGATGTAATGCGAGTTTCAAGTTAAATCTTCTGGAAATTGTCAATATAAGAAAACATTATGCCAAACATAAGCAGAAAAAAAAAGAATGAGAAAATCCTTTTTTGTAATAAAAAAAATTGGAGTGCATCACCTGTGTGTATTTAAAACCTTTGTATCAGAAGTAGGAAACAGGGAGGGCAGCATGACTTAACTAATACTGTACCATAAAGTTCTTCAAATCTTTTATAGCCCAGATTTAAAGGTGTCTTCTACCATAACTGTAAACTGTCAGGGTAGTTTATTTGCACAGCAGCTCATTATTCCCACCAGGCAGAGCTAGTTTCCACAAAGTTATGAATGATTCTATTTTTTTTATGAACTCCTATTAAATCGCGTATCGACACACGTGCAAAAAGAAAGAGTTGCTCCAAAAACATATCTGCGTAATTTCCTCAAAACAGGTTCACCGAAATGCAACGTATGTGTCTCTGTCATGTTGACGTTTTTTATTGGGTTTGTTTGCAGATCAGAGGAAGAACCTCAGCAGATGATTTGTTGGAGATTATGATTTTTGTCTTGCTGTCGTCTAATTGTGCAGGATGGTTGGGATATTTTTGGCTTCTTCTTCTAAAGGCGGCTTCCTTCCTTGATTTGTGTAGAAAGGAGACTTATAATTGAATAAAACAAGACCCCCCCCAACCCTCCTCCACACACACACACACACCACACACACACACACACACACACTCCCTCATCCCTCCCTTTCTCCTCCATGCAACACACACACATACGTTTTAAAGGTTGGTGTATAAAACTTAATAAGACGCATTTGGTTCCAAAAGCCCCCGGCCTCCTCAGTGGAAAGTGAGGCAGATTGTTTTTCAGACTCTTAATGTCGAAGTTTATAACAGCCGGATTAAAAAACGTTACCATGGGGATTTAACCACAACATCCCAATTACCTCGGTGCAACGAGGCTCTTGGGGCTTGCAAATAAACCAGTATAATGCCATTAAGGTATGAGCGCCACAAGAAAATGTCCTGAAGGAAGGAGGCAGGAAAGCCACAGAGAAAGTGAAATAATCACAGTGCTCCCATCGCAGTTAGTGATCATTTAACTTTGTCTTTTCCAGCAGCAAAAATGCATCCAGGAGGCACATTTTTTGTCCTCCAACATGCGATTAGCAAATCACCTCACGAGTTCAAATCCACCAAAAGCAACTGATAGAGCTTTAATAAGTCACACACATATTTTTCACATCAACTTCAAAGTCCACGTATTAACCGAATCAGGCACCCAAAAAACTGCACGTCCGCTCCTGCCCCCCCCCTTCGCCCCACCTTTCCTTTAAAGGGGGTGGAATAAAAACGCGGATGGATGGAATAATTGCTTGACTTCAAAGCGCAGGTTATTGGGCTGCATTTACTGTTGCAATGCAGTGGGGTGTTTTCTCTTCGCATAAAGGGAGGGGGAGGTTTGTTTCATTCCTCTTATGATGGAAATCTCACTCTCTGAAGGCCAGCAATGATCCTATAAGGACAAAACAATAACGGCCATCTCGAAACGTGTCTTTGCATGTCCAGTCAGTTCTTTAAGTTGCTGGTTAAACTCCTGATGCAGCTGCTCGTCTGCTTTCAAATCTCATCATTAGAGACACACCTTCCAATCAATCAATCAGCATGCGTCCAATCAGAAGTGCAATTATTTGTCTTTTTGTTAATCGTTTTACCTTCTTCAAACTCAGATGACTACCAACAGTGTAACAGTTTACTTTTTAAACAATTTGGGAAAGCACAGAAGATGATGTCATGGCTTTTTAAGTTTCTGATCTGGACACATCGCAACATCAAAAAAAAAAAAAAAAGAAGAAGAAGAAGAGGCGACTAATGTATCAAGGGAAAAAATATGGGGACTTTTCCTACTCTGGTTCATCCTTGGTCACAATTTCCAGGTGCTTGAAAGTGCCATGTTTATCTGCTCTAACAACTTTATGGCAGTATAAACAGCATGGAAGCTGCTGAGACTCTGTAATTATCCACAGAGAAACCAGTCCTGTACCAACATGGGCTGAAATGCCTCTGAGAGAGGAAGAAGTCATTATTCCAAAACAACATCAAAAGACGGATTACTGTTTGCATAAGTGGCCAGGGACAAAAAAAAAAAAAGAACCCTTGTTTTTGGAGACGCGTCCCTAAATAAAGTGAAAGTTAAGACAGCAATATTGACAGCAGACTTAAATTTAAGTATGGATCATTTTTGTTCCATGCTGTTCACAAATATGTTGAAAAATGTTTGTAATTTTTGTGTGTGTGTGTGTATATACTATGTGCGTTTTCAGATCTTTTTAGTTACGTTGAAAATACGACAACATACACATTATGTATCCCAAAAAATTACATGCACATGATTTGATAAACCATGTTTTAATTGCTGTAATTAAAAACCACAATCTTCCACTATTTCTTCAATTATCTTCAAATATTTAAGTATTTACCAGATGTGAGAATCCCAATTTATGCAGATGACACGGTGACATTTCCACATTGAAAAAAAAAAGGGATTTTCACACAATAACAGAATTCGGCTCTTGAAATGTTTTATATTATTAAATACCAACGTGCCTAAATCCCACATTTTGGATTGGTGTATTAGTAATTCATGTAACTTCTCATATCACCTCTAAATTTAATTATTGCAACATTTTACAAGAGAACGAATCTGCTGATGCCTTTCTGAGAAATACATCAATTTTACAAATTTATGTTTTTATATGCATTTTTGCAGGGACTTGGCTCCAACCTCTTTTTAGAGAGATTTTAAGCAAAGTCATGCTGACTCAGCCACCACCTCTAGAGGAGATGTGCTGCATGGACACAACATACTGCGAAACGAAGGAAGTTTTGGATCAGTTTTTATCCTCAACTTGAAGAGTCATGCTCTGTCTTCAGGCCTCCACAGGTTGACCATCTGAAGCAACGTGCAATTTGTCAAACTCCACTGAATTCTTTTTTTTTCTTCTTGTTTATCATTTTCTTATTCCATCATATGCATTTTTTAGGTATTTAGTTTGATTTTTGTCAGTGGAATTAATATTTTCTTCCTCTTAAAGTCGGGATTTCAGATGAAAATTATTCTGGCTAAATCTGTAACATTTACAGGTTTAACCTCGTTATTTATGGTGTAGCACATCTATAAAGAGACAACGGAAACAAAACTGCAACCGTGACACAGCAAAAACAAACTTTTTTTTTTTAACTATAGCAAATATAAAAAGTTTCAGAGGAACAGAAAGTGCTATCAAACCCTAAAAAAGAGGAACACTTATTGTCCACATTGCACCACATAATGCCTCGTGGATGTGAAAAGTGCACTTTAATAACAGATCCAATCTTGTACAAAAATTCTCCAAAGTTCTACATTCAATTGACAAATCCATGTCAATATGTAACGCCATAAAGCTTCATATTAGCTCAGAGAGATGAATCCCAAAGAACGAGGCTTAAAGTGAAAATGGAAAAAAAAATCTGGCAGTAGGCATAAATGAGCAGGACAGAATAACAAACACTTGAGCACACAACAACAAAACTCTTGCAGGCAATTATAAATACCCCAAAACTTATTTACATTAAAATCCACCAGAATTGAGACACGTGGGCCTTTTATATGTAGTTGGAATTTGCAAAAGAAAGTCAAAATGTGTCAGTCTTTTCTTTTTACACCGTTTAGGAAGCTGACTTATCTGAAAAAGACTTTATTCATACTCTAGGGCAGATGATCCATGATTTGCAACATGAATAAGGGAGCCAGAGTCAGGTTAACAAACAGAAATCCAAACTGTTTCGTTATAGTCGGAGAAGCAGGGACCTCTAGTGGCAGTAGCATGAAACTGGAACTCATTTCCACAAGAGTGTTGAAATTCTAGTGTTGGAGGAAAAGAAGAAAGACTGGAATGTGCAAATGATCACACTTGTAGATGCCAAATAGTAAATCTATTATGGACAGTAAAGAAGAGTGCTGGATTCAACAGAAGTCCTTCCTACAGTAAGAAAATAAGGCGGTGATGCCGGTAGAGCCAGCACAGACTTTGACTAGACTCCAAAGTCTGAGTGGCGGCTGCAGGAGAGGGCAGCGGATTCAGAAGTCACTGAGGATGCTGATGTCCTCAAACTCTTTGCGGTAACGTTTGGCCGCCAGGAGGAGCTGGAAGGACCACTTCAGGCTCATGGCGCTCCACACGGCCGACAGGTAGAGACTCCGAGGGTCAGCGAAAGCTGGAGCAAGGAGACATGTGTTACACAGAGCCGCGCAAAACCACAGAGGCGCATCTATACACGCACTGATACAACACGGATTACATGGAAGCCGAGTGCTAAAATAAACAACTGACTGAATAAATAAAGTTACTTCGATATCTTGGTCTCAAACAACAGAATGAGTGTCTCCAAATCTTGATTCCTTCTTGCTGCAAGTCTCACAAGACTAATGCTAAAGGATCAATAATACACCAACCCTTTGTTTTTGTGAAACATTTGAACACTTGTTGGGTTTGTTGAATTGTGTAAGATCATGCAAATTTAAATTAAACACTCTGTGATTTGTTATAATATTGAAACAAAAGTTAGCAAATCTCATGGTCTGACATCAAATCAGACCAAACTAGAATTCTTAGAGATATTTTTTTTCTAACACAAATTAAGAATATTATGCCTTACGACAATAAGGTGATGATATCTGATAATTCACATGCGACTTAATTGGGAACACACCTGCGAATATATTCTAGGTAATATCTTAAACATGTTACCACTTTGTTTTACATCATCAGAAAACAAAAATAAGCCAAGATATCAGGAAGAAAATGTACCATGTACCTCCATAAATCTGCTTAGGTCTTAGGTACCATTTCAAGATGCCTGCAGGTGCCTCATTCCTCTGTTACAACATTAATATACAAGAATGCACAGCATGAAGATGTGCAGTCATCAGAAAGTTGAGGAAGGAGATGGACTCTGTGTCCCAGAGATTTGCATGTTTTACGGTAAAAGGTTTGAATCAACCATTTCAAAAAGTCCCTCAGAAAACAAGATTACTCCAAAGTTAATTCACAGAGTCCTGAAACAAAAAGATTTTTGTGCACGCAACTAGATGGTTTCATCTGGATTTACCCTGTTCCCTTGGTCACACCCACATCTGTTGCCCTGTTTAGTTCAACTTGTCTACTTAATTTTGTATTTTTTTAATCCTCCTGCACAGCTTACACTCCTTCCTGCTGATGGCGATGGAGAGGAAGGTGATGAAGGCCACCACGGCGAGCACAGAGAAGAAAATCGCCACGCAAAGGAAGAACTTGAGCCCCTTTAGCCACGTCCGCCAGTAGTCCTGCAGGTACATGACATGAGTGATCAGGGTCCACAGGGCCAAAACACCTAAAGGGGAGAAGCAGAAGGACTGATGAAAAAATCCATTTGTTTGCAGTTCCATCACAAACTGACCCCAATGTTTCTAGCAGATCTTGTGGCTATTGGTTTCACATTACAATACTCCAAAACTCCAATCTAGAAATAATGTCTCATGTTATTGTTGCGTTGTACAAAAGCTACACTGTAAGAGTTTTACTTATTGCAATTCTACAAGCAGAGAAATGCCACATAAAAATAATTGTGCTAATTAACAGGACATTTAGCATTATGATTATTTAAGCTCTCTTTTGAAACTGTTACACACCAAAAAGAAATAAGAGGCTTTTAATCGACTAAGTACAAATCAAAGTACAGCTAAACTCTGAATACTTAGTTTAGTTTAGGTCACCCAATGACCTTCACCTGATAACACCAACCTCATACACAGACTGAGACTCTACAGCCTAAACATCACCATCTTTTATTCAACAGCTGGAAGTATTCAATGTCATTGTTGTATTTTGTGCCTCCAAAAAAATAAAAAATAATTCGCACATCATAAATTTGACTACTGTTTCTATTAAAACTCACGTCATCAGCAAATATTGATTGCAATGTCCAATGACGGCAGTGATGCTAACATGAAAAGACTGTGACATCTGATTTTGGCAAATCATTACAAAGTTGTTCAGCTAAGTTTGGTTAGTCATTACCTTCTGAAGTAGACAATAAACTTTTTCATGAGTCAACAAGTTTCACTTAGTCTGCACTACAGCAGCAGGAACTGCTCTGACCTCCTTGTAAAGATGGACATGCTTAAATAACGTACACCTCACTGTTGCTTTTAATAGCAATTTCCCACAATTTGATCATAAAAATGCATCATTTTACTTCTCGTCCTTTCCTAACTTGTTACAGGATATGCCCAGACGAAATGTGTGCAAAGGCAATAGATGTGATCTCTACTCGTCCTAAGACTACCAGCGTTCTTTATGTCCATATCTATGGTAATAAATCCATATACATGTTAGATTGATAAATGACCAGCACTGAAATAGCCAAGGGATTAAAAAAAAAAAGAAAAAAAAAATAAATTCAAGAAATAAAACCGATAAATGCAGGAAAATAAAAAAGACGTACCTTAAACTCAAAAAATGTGACCGTGATTGAATAGAATTAAGTTCATGAAATTAAAGACAGGAGATTATGTCCAACTCTTGCTGCACCATTTTATTACTTTTACCCATCATGTCATGTTGTTTGTGCCTAAATCTTGTGTTTAGTTTTAATACACTTTTGTCTCCAGAACCACCCAACTCCTGAACACTCAATCTGGAGATATGGTTTAACAGACACTACAGTGAACTTTGAACTCATGATTAGAAAATGAGGAATACACCCTGACCGCCTCATGAACACTTCTCCCCTAACATAAAGTTTAATCCTTTTAAAGAGCAAACATTTTTATTTTAACGTAAAGCAAAAAAAAAAAAAATGCATCAGCCTTCATGGGTTTAATTGTTTGGTTTTTTTACCTTCATGACATTTGAACTGTGACCTCTATGCACGCAGGGACACTCAGTAAGAAGCAGCCAGGATGCATTAAAAACAACAACAAAACAAACCACCTCTCTCTTGTTGCCAGAGTGTAAATTTGGAAAGCGTTACGTCACCTGACAGACCCCCCGTGGCCCCGGTCCACGGCTGTTTGTACACGATGTTCCACACCAGGAAGGCAGAGACCCCCAGGATCACGCCGAGCGAGGAGTAGGCGACACTGACGTGGGTCTTGTTGATCGGCATCGTGGGACTCGACCGGAGGCGGCTGCTCGGCGCGGACTCAGGCAGCAGAGCCGCGCGTCCCTCCGAGGACAGAGCTGATGACTGCAAAACAGCTGCATCCCGTCAGCCTGCGCGCGCACACACACGCACACACACACACACACACACACACACACACACACACACACACACACACACACACACACACACTCCTCCCACGTTTAGTCACACGCAGAGCCGTCAGCGCAAAATAACTGGCTGATCTGCTGACCGATAGTTATGACTCCACAGAAACGCCGATTCTAAAGCATGACGCATCATTTTCAGCGGGGGGTAAAAAAAAAAAAAAAAAAAAAAAAAAACATTCTGGACACCCAGCAGCAAAGTAACCTGCGAGTGTTTACCGCATTACTGAGCACAGCGCCAACTACCGGACAAATAAAGCAACAATCCACCGCCTTGTGGAAAGTAGTCGAGATCAGGACTGTCCTTCCATTGACAGTCCTGACCTGTCAATGAAAGGAGAGGACTGTTGTGATGTTGTCCTCGCATATTAGGAATTGGTTGTGTTTAAAATAAGTTAGGGAGTGAAATCACAAACTCCTTATAAAAGCTTTCGCTTGTTTACAGTGTTTCTGACACCTGCTTCACATCCGTTTCATATTTAATCGGTACAGGTGTTGGAAAACTAATACCTCTCTCTCTCTCTCTCTGTCTCTTTCTCTCTCTCTCTCTCTCTATATATATATATATATATATATATATATATATATTTATACAGTACACTGTATGCAGACTGTTGCATGTAAAATTCACGAGCAGTAAATATTGTGCTAGTTATCCGTATTGGACCCAAGAAAGCAAGGCAGTTGCAATCCTTTGAAATTGTGATGCTTTTTATGGATCAGATAGACTCAAAAAATTGTCACAGCGGCTACGTGGGGGGGGGGGGCGGGGGGCAATTAAATGTTTTGTCAGGGGGCTTAAGATTCCTGGCAGTGCCCCTGCCAGCAAGTGAAAAGTCAAAGAATGAACTTGTGTTTTATTTTAAGTCAGAACCTCCAGCAAACTGAATGGAAAGGCTGAGGACGCCATAAAAAAGGTGTTTATTAAATCTGAGATTTAAAAGTTTAACCTTAGCACTGGGTTCTTACTCTGAACTCTTGACCAAACATTTCAAGACTTGAATTAGAGCGCTTCGTAATCCATCTCCCTCGTTTTAAAGTACAGCTGCAAAGGTTTACCATTAGATTCAGAGGAAAAGTACAACACTAAGAAGGTACAATGAATTAGTCAACAAGTTAACTGATGGATACATTTATCATGTTTCAGAAGTAATTTTTCTAAGCTCTATACCAGAAAAATATCTACACCGTACCTCGTCGACTGCAAAGGAAACTTGACTGATAAGAAATAATACAAGATTTAAAAGCAACTTTAATTCTGAACAATCCAACTTCCCAAAATTATTGAGAAAATTAATCATTCAACAAATGTTAATTTTCTTCTGAATTTGAGCAAATTTTGAAAGTTAAAAAAGAAGAAAAACACAGTGGTCAGTCTGAAAAGGCAACCATTTTTAATCTGTTAAAGGCAAAGTATCCAATACCTGAAACAACACTGGCTTTAGAGTTACAGCTCATAAAATTAATGTGCAACATGGTAACAAAGCACCTGCAGAGAATTGTGTACAATATTTTTATTTCTCACCACAACTTTTCAAATTTATATACTAGAACAGGGAACTCCAAAAAAATCCAGGGAACCAATATTCATCTCCAACGCCATCCTCAGAACCTGAACTGCTAAAAAAACATTTGACAAAAATCTAGAAAATTGAGCTACTCTTCCTACATTGGCTTTACTGAATAGAAACATCTTCTTTATGATTTGGCCAAACCACAGCTTACTGTTAATATCGCTTTAGATTCAAAGCTTTTAATCACATGTGATGAAATAACATTTCCAGTGCCATTCGGGCTGGATTATTTGATATGCTTGAAGCTGTTGTGAAAAACTATCCAACAAAAGCCCTGAGATGCTGCAAACATAAGATTCTCATGTCAAACTTAAATCAGGTTAGGCAGATAATAATAGAAGAAAAATTCTTCCAGCTTCTTTTTCATCAGTTTGATGAAAGCCTCATCGCGGTAGATCCGCTGGACCAGCATGTCTTCCCTGGCGTACAGCACCAGATCACACCATGGCGTGCCTGTCACCAGCATCTCTCCTTGCATGTGCCAGTAATGGCGGTGGGCTCTCTTTACCAGCAGCGCTCCGTTCTTACAGGTCAGAAATGAACACTCTATGAAGCTTTTGACATCGAGGAACTGGATGTGCACCAGCCCAAAGCTGCGCGTCTCTTTGGGGTCGTACACCAACCCATCAGGCATCGCTCCCAACCACGGAGCATTTGGGTGGACGACCAAACCGCAAGGCGACCAGTTGACGCACAAATTCCGGCAGTATTCCCGAAGAGCCTCTGGCTTCATTTCCATGTCGATCTGTGCAGTCTTGCACTTTCGCTTTCCTTTCTGAATCTTGAACAGGAGGTGTTCTGCGTGGCTCCGTCCTGGCTTCAGGTTGCAGATGTCTCTAAATCGGCCAGTGAGACGCATCTTCAGTTGCTGATCTGCGGCCTCCTTATTTCCCCGGGTGCTTTCCTCCAGGTTGTGTGCTTCCTCCCAGGTAACATTCATGGCATTTACGAATGTCTGCTCTTGAGCACTGAGCGTAGGAACGACAGTGTCTGGGTCCAGCGTGTTACGGGACAGGGGAAGCAACGGTTGAGAGGGGGCATCATAATGAGGCTTGAAATCCTGACTGGATGGCAGTGGGCATTGGTAGGAAATGGGGGAGCCTTTAGGGACTTCACCGAAAGCACACTCTGTCCATTCCCCATCGAGTTTTAGGTCCAACGTGGTTATCAGCGGCTTCTGGTCGTCAGGGAAATCATTAAACGCCTCAGAAAGCCTGTCTAAAAAGGACTGTTGGTCAGCTCGGGAAAGCGTAAAAGACTTGTGGAGCATCATCCTGAAAAAAGATGTTACATGCAAAATTATTGAAATACTGAAGGTAAAAATGATTTAAAAAAAATAGAAGCATAAAGCAGGAAATAAAATCTTACCTTGGCATTTGTAGCATTGTCTTCTGTTGGGAGAACTTTGACTCCTTTCAATACAAAGAAAGAAAAAAAAAATTATAAAATAAAATAAACATTATTTTATTGCCATCAAAATGTAAATGATTTGAACTACTGTTTAACAAGACACTGCACTGGAACTCAGTTGTTAATTTTGCCATTAATTAAAGTATTTATTACAACCCCCCCCCCCCAAAAAAACAAAAAACAAACATCAAATAATTTTTAATCATCCGGGTTGGCTGTAAACATTAAGCAACAAATGAGTGTGTAACCAAGCACGTAGACAAGGTCTTCAGGTCTACTTGCTCCTTTACCAATTTGCGTTTTGAACATACTTGTTTGAACAGGATTCCATGAACTCTGTCAAAAGTGACTGCATTCTGTAGTAAGGTATTTGAAAAATGACACACACACACACACACACACGCGCGCACACACGCACACACACACACACTTTAGAATAAAGCGTGTCTTTGTGTGTAAATGCAATTTAGTGATTGTTAATTTGTTGAGCTGTTAAATGTACTTTTGAAAATACCCGAGTCTTCGAAGCGTGATCGGTGGCACTAATGTCTGTGCATTTCACAAGCAGATACCTATGACTAAAATGACTAAAAAATGACTAAAAAATGACTTCCCCATCTGTGCTGCTGTTTTGTTATACAGCAGCAGCAGCAGCAGCAGCAGCAGCAGCAGACAGGCAAAGGCAGCATTGTTGTTTTATTCTTTGCCAGGTCAGGACTTACTTTATAAGTTTCTCCATCTTTGAGCTCAGACTTGTGGTAGAAAAGCGATATTTGCTAAATAATTTTCACAAAAAAGTAATGACACATATTTAACCATGTTTGGCTATGCATGCTCGCCTATCCGGTCCAATGTAATGTACTAACCAAAAGCTTTAGATTTAGGGGAGAATTTAGTCACACTTACATTTTTACTTGTAGTTTCAGGATGTATTTGCTGGTTGGCATTCGTTCTGTCTTCATTTACTTGCAATGATGCATGTGCAGCTTCATCTGCCCCCGGGGACGTCGAGCCTTCCTGTTTGCATAAATTGTCGTAAGCCGAGATCCTGGCAGAAAAGTCCTGGTGCTCCACAGCCAATTCTCTGGGCATCTCTGTGATGCAGGTTTTTTCCACTTCGTCTTCTGGATCATCTTTTACGGTGACTTGAAAGGCCTCTTCCACTTCTGCTGGCCCTTGTTGCTGCTCTGTCTCCCAGCTAATTTCATATTCAGTCGTCTCTTCTTTAGGTCTTTTATTCAGTGGCTCTGCTGTTTCAAGGCCAGTCGTTGTGTTTGGCTCCGAAAGTTGCTTTCCGGTAATTTGGGGTGTTTCTTTCAACAAATTGACATCTATCATTTGGAAAGAGCAAAGAAACAGACATATTAGTTGACATCTTGTCCCTTACTTAAAGAATCAAATACCATGACCTTTACATTAGCCAACATAAACAAATAACCCATTTTGTGAATTCCTAAAAAGATTTCGTCGTAACTATTGTTTTCAGGTTTAAATGTTTGCAGGCACACAAACACACACAAATCAGCAAACCTTTCAGTGCAAAATGGAAATGTTAGAATAACTGATGGATAGATAGAGGACAAAGAGTATGATGGCTGAATGGATGCATAAGGGGACAACATTTACACACCACGATGTGGAATTAAGCTTGAAAATACAAATATTCCCCTAAATTTATCCAAACCAGACAATTGCTTCGTTCAAATCTGGACAGGAACTCTGAACCAACTTTCCTGCTTCCCATCCCCGCTAACTATTAAAAGTCATGCCAATCAGCTTCTATGGTCGATTTAAGGCTGGTGTTAAGCTGAAGCCACACAGAGGAAGGTTAGTGGACATTGCGAACACTTTAAAGCACGAACCTATCCTCGTTAACTTTATTTCAGGGGTCAGCACCATGTGCAGCATGTTCCTTAGCCTTTTGTTTTCTTCGTAGCAGGCCTCCATCATACTCTCCACCTCGCCAAACACCTCCACGGCCAGCGCGGTGAAGTGTTCAGTCAAAAACGTCTTAAAACCCTGAAGCCTCACGTTGTCCATTTTAAACGATATCAATTTCCAAACACGAGCACGG